TTGTGGGAAAATTCTACTACCAGTCCTTCATCACCTTAGACGAAATAGGGTGAATACATCTCATTATAAATTTTTAATCAACTTTTTCGATCTAGGGTGAATACCAAAATCTTATTCTAGTTTCGAAAGCTACTCATTCTGAACACAAGTGGGCAACAAGTTTAACTATTTATAGCGTCAATTAATTGTTTTATTGTAAAAACTTTTAATAAGCTTCTTAATAATGAAGAATAAGCTTCATATTTTCTATTACATCTATTTCTGTATCAACATGCCTACACTAAATTTATATATATATATATTTTTTTTTTTCTTTGATTTTTCACAATTAAAAAGAAGGTGATTATTTTACTCTTTAGGTGAAATGTTCAGCCTTTTCTAGTGATCTACAAACAGTCCAAAGAGCTCTTGAATGTGCAAATCAAGAGAACGACTTACTTCGGCATAATCTTCATCTCCGAGAAGAAGATATCGCCAACCTTCGATCCACATTGCAGAACTCAGATACCAAACGCCAGGATCTTTTACAACAGTACCGGTGTGTTTTTTTTGAAAAACGATTTATTTCTCTTTTGTGGGCTTTGCTTATACTCTGTATTCAGCCAACTTGCAATAGCTATGACGACGTTTTTCTAAGGTTTTCTAAAATTTCTCTATATAAGGACCGAATAGGTATAGCTGGGCAGCTATAAAATATTAAAGGAGATTATATTTCAATTGTTTTTTCTTATTGATTAGTGTCATAGTAGGTAAGATCAAACACATTATAAACCATTGGTCTTCTAGACCATAATGGGCATATAGTGAAACTTAGCCCTATTATGGCTTTTTATATTTTTTTATGAAGTAACTAGTATAGATCAGATACTCTGTATTGCTGAATGATATAATATCTAGTAAAACGCCAAACTTAAAATTGATTTATTACCACATTATTAACCTATAATTAGGCCAATTATCATCACTTTAAAGACATTTAACACCGCTTTTCCATATACTATAACTATGTTTATCCATTCATTTTAATTCAGACTTGTTCTTAGGACTACTAATTCTTAAATATTATTATTGTAACTAAATTTTTTTAATATGAGATGTATTCACCATATTTCGTTTAAGGTGATGAAGGACTGGTAGTAGAATTTCCCCACAATGATATGAATAGAGCTGACGTTTCTATTTAATCTCACATAGCCTTGCTTTCCCAGAGTTGTTCTTAACCAGGGTGGACTGCAGTTTTGTCCTCGCATCGGATTTATCAAAAACCCCAGCGGGAGTCAAATCCTAACAGTGCAGAATGTGAGCCTGATACGTTAACTAATCGGCCACATTGCCACGAGTGTCCTTTTGCCATCGACGATCCCACCAAAGAATATGATATGGCAAAAGGCCTGACCTTCCTTGAAATGCACATCTGCCCTGTGACCCAGTGATAATGTGGCCGAGTGGTTAACGTGTCAAATTCACATTCTGCACTGTCACGGTTCGACTCCCGCTGGGGTGTTGATAATTCCGATGCGAGGTCGAAACTGCAGTACACCCTGGATGAGAACAACTTTGGAATAACAAGGCTCTGTGAGATTCAATGGAAACGTCAGCTCTACTCATATCATTGTGGGAAAATTCTAATACCAGTACCTCATCACCTTAAACGTAATAGGGTGAATACATCTCATATTACTGATTTACTGGTAGTCTCAAAACTCTACTTAAATACGAAAAATAAATGTCTTTAGTCAGGTTATGTTTTTATTCAGAATTCATGCGTATTTCTTTGAACTTATGTCTTTTTTATTGGGTTGAGTCATCTTTTTATCGATTTTAGTTGATACCATAAACGTCTGCTGATTTTCATTAAAAAAATTTTTGTTTTTCTTTGATCCGTCAATTGACGAGAGCTAAGATCCAGCATTCCGGACACAGCTGATTTTCTTACCATCCGATGCTTCGTTAGGAAATCACGATTTTAGCATTTAATGATTTTATCATTACTGTCTATCAACATTTTACGATTAATTTGCATCTTATACATCAGGTTACTCACCGAGGAGATGGATAAATCTACTCTTCAACGTGGCCAATTAGAGACGGAACTGGAGAATGCTCTACATGCTAAATCTGCTCTAGAGGCGGAGCTAAGCCAAATGCTTGAACAGGTTTCTCGCTTGAAGAATGAATTATTCGAGAAGCAACAAACGGCTAGAACCCTTGAGACACAGGTACTACTTTCTCGCAGTAACTTTGTTCACCGTCAATGATTAACACAACATCTTGGTCTTCACATCTTGTTTTTGTTTGTTTGTTTACAAGTCTTGGGCACTCCTCCATTTACACTGAAAGTATCTGATAAAGAGATTCAAAGATTCATTACGACCTTGCTCATTAACTTACTCAAAGTTAATCATCACTACCATTTTTATCACTATGTTCATGTTATGTAGCTTTCAATTTTACAATGAACATCCTGAGTTACTTTTCTCAGGCTTAAGTTTGCGTTTGCTTCAACTTTCAATTCATTTATTCATTCAGCAGCTCGATACTATAACGTGTTTCTCGCGATAATTTCAATAGTCAAACCGCGTTCTTCTGCACCTTTATCCTCACACATTACTACTTGATTTATGGGCCTTTAATGCGCTTGTATTTCCATCTATCGGAGACTTTCAGAGGAGTATAGTGATGAAAGATTCTGGCCGATTATACAAAATTCAAATATGTGCATAAGTATTTTTTTATTAAATTTTGGGAGCTTAGTTTATCAGAATTGGATCAACTTATGCTGGACCAAATCTTTTTTGTGGACTTATTCTATTCCATTTTCATCGTGAACCTAATATTTCTTTCACGCTGGTTGAGTGAAAATAAGAAACTATCTAAATTGTCCTTACCATGAGGCCATATTACAAAATAGTCATCCATGTATCTAACCAACAATTTGGGTGTTATTATTGCCTCTTGCAGGAAGTGTTCCTCCAATTTTGCCATATAAATGTTCGCTAAGATGG